ATTACTTGCATTAAAAAATTCAATTAGATGTATAATATTGTTATTATATTTTGTTATTTTTTTATTTTATGTAAAATATATATGTTATTTTAAATTCTTTAATAATTCTGTATATATCGATTTTTTAAAAAATTATAAAAAAATAAATCATTATAAAACATACAGAATTATGATACGAAATCATTAATTACGTATACAAACCTTATAAATAACATATCATTTCCTTATTTCGATTTCTTATAGGGTAGATGAATTCATTGATTAAAGATTAGGAACTTGTCATTTGTTTTGGAGTATATGAGACTTAGCTTACATTTGACAATGAATATTAGCAAAGAAGGCGAACACAATTTATGGTCAGAAGAGTAAAGTTCAGATGAATCCAAGGATAAGTATTAAAAATCTGACACAAAATTAGAAGAAGCAAAGATAATATCAATTCTTAAAGAACAATTTCTAGCACTGAAAATAGGTTCAGGTAAATTATGACATATGTCATAGAGGTCTAAAAAATTGAGTGCAAATATCTTATGATAAAAATCAAATCGCCAATGAAAAGAAAAACCATTATTGTATTGAACCAATAAGTACTGAGATCGGCATTAAAGTCTTCTAAAAGAATGAATTTGAAATTTGCTTTGATACTATCTTTGATATATTTGATAATTTCATTGTGAAGCTTGAGTCGATCTTTTTTTGATTGAACAGTTTGAGATGCTTGCAAATAGATACAAAAAATATGAAGTTTGTTATATTCTGCAAAGAAAAGATCGATATAAATAAAATGATTATTATTTAAAAAGGTACGTTAAATATAAATTGCCAATAAGCGCTTAACGAGAAGGCCAACACCTGTGAAAGTATTGATACAAGAGTTCTAAAAAGTGCAAAAATTAGGATTATAGAAATATTAGTAAAATTGATCTGATTTATGTTGAGTTTTAGTGATTCCAATGAAATCAGTATTAAAGTCAATAAAGGTATCGTTAATTAAGAGATTTTTGATTTCATTTTGAAGAGATTAACATTATGAGTAGCAAATGAGAAAGTGGGGAATTTTTGAAATGGTAGAATTGTGATTTTGGGTGGTCATTATATGATTACTATTATTATTAAGATTGTTTAAATTCATTATTAAAATAAAAAAGAGAGGGTGGCAATTATTGTGAATTGAGTTTGTCGCTTAAGATTGTAAGTTGAACTATCATGAAATCCATTCGAGTTTTTTGCTCAATAATTATAGCATTTTGTTTATCAATGATTGTTTGCATTTTCATATTAACAGAATTAGAGTCAGAAGCTTTACTATCATCTGATGACGTTGTAGCAATCCTAAAATGTTTATTAACATAAAAAGAGTTTAATTTAGATGGAATTATAGTTGGAAAAACAATCAGATCAGGTTTTATAGAAAATAAAGTCAACTGAAACTTTTCAAGTTTTAAAATACGAGCTTCAAGTGTAGACATAGCTTGTTTCATACCCGAAAGCATGTCTAGAATTTGATCAAGTTTCTTATTGGTATCATTTTTTGAATTTGGGTTATGAATAGAACTATCTAAGGAATTATCTTGAAAGCCTGTATCTTTGCTTTTACCTTTATTATTATTGTTCAAAGCTTAGGAATAATTCATATTTTGTTCAGATTACAGTTATTTTTAATAATGAGAACACAATAGCTAGTAGGCTTATATTGATTGTATAATTTTTGAACAGAAAAAAGTTGGGAACGTGAGCGTTTAGAATCAGAAGTGTTATCCTTATCCGATAGTATGATCTGAGGATACTTCATAATAATATGATTAAAAGAACCATATTTGTGACAGTATTTGATATCTGCTACGCATCATTATAAGTCATTATTGATGAAAGCATAATTAACTTTGATGGTATTATTTAGAGCTTCATCAGATTCAAAAAATAATTAAAGGGATCAAATTTATAGACCATATAAAATAGTGAAGGGACTTGGCTTATAATTATTTGACCTTAGGATGTAACAGCTTTTAGCTTTAGTAGTGATGATCACAGGTCGAACGCTGATAAATCGGGTATCTTCCCGATTGGTCACTATTTTTTGATTAGTAATTAATAGATAGAAATCAGTAAATACTACAATCAGGTATAAATCGGTTAATACTATAATCATAATTATTAGGTAAAATTACATAAATCAGGTTCCAACCCGATTTTATACTTATTTTAAAAAATTTATAACTATATGTTAAATAATAACAAATCGGGTTCAATTAATAATTAGTTATCAATCGGTTTAATACCCAATTGATGATTATTATTCAATTAGAATTTACCAATTGGTAACAATTTGCTAACAAGTCTCGTTAATAAGATTTTTTAACAATCCGTAATGAAATTCATTATATGAATTTTATTATAATGAATCATAACGAATTTCGTTAACCGATTCGTAATGAAATTTCATTTAACAAATTATTAAAATGAATTCGTTTAAACGAATATTAACAAAATTTGTTAAATGAATCGGAAGGAAATTCGTTAGACGATTTCAGTTAAATGAATTGTACGAAATTAATTATAATGAATTTCATTAAGATTCGTTTAACCGAAATTTCATTATGAATCGGTTAATGAAATTCATTACGATTCATTACGGATTTCATTAAACGAATTCTGTATAATGATTCGTTACAGATTTCGTTAAACGAATTCTGTAAAATGATTCATTACGGTTTTCATTAAACGAATTCTATATAGTGATTCGTTACAGATTTTATTAAACGAATTCTGATTAATGATTCATTACAGTTTTCGTTAAACGAATCTGTATAATGATTCATTACAGATTTCGCTGAATGATTTGTTATACGAATTTCATTTAAACAAATCATATTTTATTAATCAATTCGTTATGAAATTCGTAATAATAAATCATAATAAAAATTTTCGATTCGTTACAAATTTCGTTTAAATGAATTGTAACAAATTTCATTATAACAAATCGTAACAAAATTTGTTGAATGATTCGTTATGAAATTCGTAATAATGATTCATTAAGAATTTCATAATGAATCACAACAAAATTCATCAAACGAAGACGAATTTCACATTCAAAGGCAATTTTCGTCATTTCGAAGATGAATTTCGCATTCAAAAGCGATTTTCATTAATTCGAAGATAAATTTTGTTTCAAAAGCGAGATTTTGCCAATTTGAGATGAATTTTGTCATTTTGTAGCGAAATATCGTATTCAATGACGATTTTCATTTTAATTAACCTTTTATTATTATTTGTTTACTATTAATCTTATGTATCATAGTAAAACATAAAACATATATATTTAACCTTTTTTAGCAAATCAGAATCACCCTTTCTTCTTTTTCTTTTCTCTTTTTTTTTTTTTTTAGAAACGCTTTTTTCTCAATTTTCACTAATATTTTTTCTTTTTTTATAATAAAAATTCTTTCTTTTGGATAAGGTACAGTAAGTAGCTTTTCGGGACTCTATCAGGAGTATTTTTCAGTTTTTTACTTATTTTTTCACCAAATCTTCTTTCTTTTGGATAAGTTAAGTAGTATTTCTATGGTGGGTTTCAGATATTTACTAATTTTTTTCTTTTTTTAATAGAATTGGACTTTTTGCTATTAGTTAATGTAATTTTACAAATAGGGATGGTAGATTTTCAGGTTTTTACCAATTTTTTTTCTTTTTTTAATAGAAGTAGACTTTTTTACTATTGGTTAAGGTAAGTCTACAAATCAGGATGGTAGTTTTTTCAGGTTTTTACTAATTTTTTCTTTTTTAATAGAAGTAGACTTTTTTGCTATTGGTTAAGTTAATTCTACAAATCGGTCTGATAGATTATTCAGGTTTTTACTAGGCCTGTTCATTTCCGGTCGGTCAGTTTTTCGGTTAATTTTGTCCTACTCAAATTTGACTAATAAAATCATCTTATTTACAGCTAATTTCATAATTCATGGACCATTAATAATTTTTCAGTCGCATTCAGTCGCAATATTTTATAATAATTTTATTATAAAATATTTTCAGTCGCATTCAGTCGCAATTTATTAGTGGTCCACGAATTATGAAATTAGCTGTAAGTTTATAATTTGAGCTACAACAGTTCGTAATTAAGTTCGAACTATGCATAAATAACGAATAATAATTCTTTTAAATTGTATAATGTTGAATGAGTACTAGTTTGTACAATTATCATGTCTTCTAATAAGCAAGTATTACAAGAAGTATTAGAAAGTTGTATTATTGAGAAAATAATACGTGAAATAAATGAAGACGATTCCACAGATTTAGATGAAGATGACGATGATGAAATTTTTATTCTTAGCTTACTAGCTTTAAATGAAGTTCGTTATATTGAACCGCGCGTATATAATGTATTTAAATCACAAAGTTGGTATCATAATATTCTACCTACTTATAATGATATAAGATTTAAAAAAATAATGAGAATGCTTCCTAAAATTTTGAATCTCTAGTTAATTTACTTAAAAATCATCCAATTTTTGAGTCTGGTAGTAATAAATTACAAGCTCCTACAGAATTTCAATTGGCTGTATTTTTGAGAAGATTGGAAACTAAAGAAGATATATTCGCAATATGTTCTTGTTACGGAATAGCTGAGGGAACTGTAATTTTGTATTGTAAGCGTGTAATGAAAGCAATTATTTTCAATAAAGAAAAGTATATTAAGTGGCCAACAACAGATCAAGCAAGAAACTTTGTATATGAGGGGTTTAAAGCAATTGGTGGTATTGAAGAAATTATTAGGGCAATAGATAACACCTATTTTCTTTTTCAAAATGCTTCACAAAAAGATAAAGAATTTTACTTTACAAGAAAAAAGAGATATGCTTTACATTGTCAAGGAATAGTCGATTTTAAAGGTATTTTCATCAGTTATGATGTTGGTTGGCCTGGTAGTGTCCATAATGCAAAAGTATATTGTCATTCTTCTTTTTATTTAAATAAATCTTCTTTTATTATAAATAATGATTTTTAATTGGCGATAGTGCATACCCTTTGTCCACATTTTTAATAAAATCTTACAGTAGACCTAATAATGAATAGAAAAGATTTAACCAAATTTTTTTATCACATCGTATTGTAGTAGAACATTCATTTGGCAGATTAAAAAATAGATTTATAGGAGTAAGAGAAATATCTGTTAAAAAATTTCAACTGCAATCAATTTAATTGATTGTGCTATTATTTTACACAATTATTTAGAATTAGTTAATGATATATGGAAAGAACAAAATGATGATAACTTTACTGATGATAGTAAATTAAATAATTATAATGATGATCGTGATGAATTAAAAAGAGCTAGAGAAGTAAAACGAGAATGGGTTATGAGAAAATTATTTACATTATTAGAATAATAAGCAATTATCAATAAATATAAAGAAATTTAAGTTTTATTATTATTTCTTATTATTATTATTATTTATTATTATTACTATTATTACTAACTATTATTACTAACTATTATTATTGTTTATTACATTGCTTTAACTGTAAATCTAATTTTTTCATTGTTAATTTATGCAGCATCTTTGATTGTTCCCGCTCATATTCCCATTTTTGCTTCTCAACTTCCAACTTTTGTGATTGAAGTTTGAAATCATTATTCATTCTTTCTCATTCTAATTCTAATCTTTGTTCAAAGATTTTAATTTTTGTTTCACTGATGTTATTTATAACCTCAAACCAAGATTCAATATTATTTTTCTTTTTTTTAATTTCCTTTCTATTATCTTTCTCACCCTTCATATTTTGATTATTATCCATTTCATCACCTATATAACCTGATTTTTTATTTGAAAGATATGAAGATGAAACATTTTCATGACATCAGAAAATTTTATCCATAATATCCATCCATTTCCAGTCAACTCATCCTGATCCACTTTGATAGTTTTCTTGCTTCACTTTACCATACTTTTCTAAGAGTCTATTCAATCGCCTTTTAATACTTTCTGCAGTTTTTGATTTAATAATATCTCTGGAAACCAAAACATAAAATTCAGATTTTTTTCCCTTCTGATATTTATTGGAATTATCTTCCAAATAAATCAATAGTTTATATGTTTCGTTATCACTTTATCTATCAATAGTTTGAGGTTGATTATCAGAAATTTTTTACTTCTTCTTTTCTTGTCTTAATTTCTTCACTTTTTCCAAATCCTAAATTGATTTCAAAGTCAGTTACCAAAATACTTAATTATAAAAGCTGAGATTTTATTCTCACCATTAAGTACTCTTGATCAAAATCCTCTTGATATCAGGGATCAAGTTCAGAGTTAACATCATGTAACAAAAAAACAGTATTTTCCTTAGGCTAAAGAACATTAGTTTCATGTAATGAATCATAATCATTTGGTCTTTCCCTTATAGTAGTATCAACGATAATGTTTGACCTTTCTATTACTCGAGTGTTTATATCAGCAGCTACCATTGGAGTACTTGGTTTTAATACTTGAGTACCTGATTTAGATGTTAATTGGAAATTTAAAAATTGCCGAGAAGAGCTATCAACCATTTGAGTATATGGTAACTTTGGAGCTAAAGGTCTGTATTTTTGTAAGTTTTGGTTATTTTTATAGCTTTGAGAATCTTGAAAACCATTAGCGTCAACTTGGCGAGAAGACATTTTGACAATTTTTGACGAGAAAATTTTTGTTTCTCATGCTTCTGGTTGGTTAACATGATGCGTTATTGTTTTTGAATTAAAAAAATACCAATTTTATTGTTTTTAAAGTTCGGAATTAGTTTACGTCATACAAAAAGATCAGTTCAACCAAATTTAACAAAAACTGAACGAAAAAACTGACCGACCGGAAATGAACAGGCCTACTAATTTTTTTTCTTTTTTTAATAGAAGTGGATTTTTTTACTATTGGTTAAGGTAAGTCTACAAATCGGGATGGTAGATTTTTCAGGTTTTTATTAATTTTTTTCTTTTTTTAATAGAAGTGGACTTTTTTGCTATTGGTTAAGTAAATTCTACAAATCAGGATGGTAGATTATTCAGGTTTTTACTAATTTTTTTTCTTTTTTTAATAGAAGTGGACTTTTTTACTATTGGTTAATGTAAGTCTACAAATCGGGATGGTAGATTTTCTTTTTTAATAGAAGTGGACTTTTTTTCTTATCAAATATAGTAAATAATTAAATTTAATAAATTTGTAACAAT